TCCTGTTTGGCCCAGAGGATAGAACTAGAAGAAATGGAGTGGAGAAGGAGGGGGTGAAAAGGGAAGCTGCCAAGAGGCCAAAGGAGCTGTCCAAAAGTAGAAGGAGCTGACTTGAGAGGGGATTTCTTCTTCCTCCTTTGAACTCTTGAGGCAGGGGCAAGATAACCATTTGTTAGGTATGTTGTATAAGGAACACTTTTTCAGGGATGGGTCAGATTTGATGGTCACTTAGGTCCCTGCCAGAGCTCAAATTCTTCGATGCATTTATTAAGTATCAATCAATAACCATTTGTTAAATGATGACAGGAACTGTGCTAAGCATTGGGGATAAAAAGAAGAGGCAAAAGTTCCTGCTCTCAAGGAGCTCACAATCTAATGGGGGAAACAACACACAGACAGATACATACAAAGCAAACTATATATAGGATAAATAGGAGATAATTAACAGAGGGATGAACTAGAATTAAGAGGGGTTGGGGAAGTCTTCCAGTGGGACTGTAGTTGGGACTTAAAAGAAGCTGGGGTGGGGGTGTCAATATTCAGCGTAGAGGAAGGACAACATTCCAGGCATAGAGGACAGCCAGAGAAAATGCCCAGAGGCAAGAGATGGAGTGTTTTGTTTGTGGAACAGCCAGGAAGTCAATGTCACTGGATTAAAAAATACATGATGGGAAGTAGGGTGTAAGAAAGATGGGAAGATAAGAGGGAGCTATGTTATGAAGGGCTTTGAATACTAAACAGAGCGTTTTGTATTTGATCTTGGAGGCAATAGGGAGCCTCTGGAGTCTATTGAGTGGAGGTGGGGTTGACATGATTGGACCTGTGCTTTAGGAAAGTCACTTTGGTAGCTGAATAGAGGATGGATTAGAGTGGGAAGAGACTTGAGGCAGGCAGATCCACCAGCAAGCTATTGCAATAGCCCAGGTGGGAGATGATGAGAGCCTACACTAGAGTGGGGGCAGTGTCAGAGGAGAGAAGGGGGTGTAATGGAGAGATGTTGCAAAGATAAAATTGACAGGCCTTAGCAACAGCTTGGATATGAGGGGACAAGAGATCAGGGGAAATCCAGGATGATACCTAAGGTGGGAGTCAGATGGACTGAGAGGATGGTGGTGCCATCTACAGTAATAGGGAAGTTGGAGGGTGTGTATGTGGAAGGTTTTGGGGAAACGATAATGAGTTCTGTTTTGCACATTTTGAGTTTAAGATGTCTACTGGGCATCCAGTTTAAGATGTCAGAAAGGTAATTGGAGATGTGAGCTTGGAGGTCAGCAGAGAGTTGGATTAGGAAAGGTTGATTTGAGAATCAGCAACATAGAGATTATAATTAAATCCATGCTGATGAGATTATCAAGTGAATTAGTGTAGAGGGGGAAGATATATCTATAAGTATTTGTTATGAAGTAGAACAACTCACATTTATGTACAGCTTTAATGTTCAAAGAGCACTTAATATACCTTAATTCATTTGACCGTCATAACAATCCTATGAGGTAGGTGTTGTAGGCATCATCAATCTCCATTTTATAGATGAGGAAACAGACTCAGAGGCTAAGTGACTTGTCATGGCCACGTGGTTACTGAGTGTCAGGAGAAGGGTCTGAACCAAGGGCTTCTTGACTGTACTGAGCTACGGTACCATTCTCTCTCTCTCTCTCTCTTTCAGTAAAATGCAATTTCTTGAATTGGAACATTACTTCTAGTCAAAAACAAAATAACTTATGAATGACAGTGAGCCAGTTGTAGGAAGAAGTTCAGAAACTTTGGTCTTTTAATATATGCATTGCCAAAACATTTTCAGATTTTACAAAATGGCAGCCAGAGCTATTGTCTTTCAAGATCGATTAACCTCTCCTGGCTCCACAATGACATCTTGTGGTTAATTGCAATTGCATTCAAAGATGTTCTGTTGGCCAAGGAGGGTGAATCATTTTTCAAGGACTGGGTAAGAGAGAGAAAGAAATAAAAAAAATACAATAAGTATTCTGTTATCTTTGAAACTACTTATCAAAAAGAGTCTATTAAGCCACACTTCCATACACCTCCCCTGCAGAGCAAATTGATGAACTTGAGCTGTCCAATGATGCAAAAGAAACTTCTGAATTAGCAGGGAAAGGATAAATTTATACCCAGTAACATTTAGGCATTATTTCTATTTTATCACATTCTAATTTCTTAGAATTTGGAAATCTATATGAAGCATATGCATGTGGTAGAACAGGAATTGGGATAGGTGACTGATAGGAACTGTGATTTCTTTGGTATAAGGAACTCCCAGAGGAGTAACTACCCTTTACCAATGCTGTTTAGTGCCCTTGTTCACGGTCTTACAGCCAGTATGTGTCAGAGACAGAACTGGATCTCAGATAGTCCAGGCTCTGAGGTCAGCTCCATGATACTATCTTGCCTTTCCTGTGGACAGAGGAGAGCTTTCTTTCCCATGAAGCTTAAGGAAAAGATGCTTTCTAAGCTGAGGAGAGGCAGAGAGGAGGGTTACCTGGTAGGCAGGCACCAGGGGAATATAACGTTAGAGAATTTAGGCCACTTTAAGTAAGAATCAGCCTTCCAAGGAATCTCTCTGGCAGTAAGACTAAGGGAGGAAGGATGGTCAAGCATCTGAACAGTCACACTTTCCAGTCTTCTTTGCTGCAAGAATTGCAGAGTCATGAAAAATGGTAGCAACCCTCTTTTAGACAAAATACTTGATTAGTATTTTTTTTATTAGTATTAAGAACAAGTATATGAGCATAGCTGGGGCTCTGCATTAGAGCTGATCTCTGGAAGCTTGGCCCTGCCCTCTGTCAGAGAAGACAAAGTCTTTAGGCAAGTTCAAAGCTAGCATAGAGTCATCAAAAGCTGGCCCATCTCTTTTTTTGAGATTCCAAGTATATATAATGTGGGAACTGGTCCAGGTGAATAGCTAGGGAAGCCCCAGGGGCTCCTGATGCCCTACTTAAGTGGCCAAGTGCTCCTCCCCATCCTGTTCATTTATTCTCTAGGAGAGGCAGCCAGGAGTTCATATGGCATGTACATGCTCCCAGCTGCCTTCGTGGGGGTTCCACATTAGGTCTGGTGCTTCTCCAGGTCTGAGACACAGAGCGCATCAAGGAGGGGATATGTTCCATAGAGTCAGCCTGGGGCCATGTTTACTACCTGATCCTGTGAGCATCAGAGCCTGACAGCTGACCAGAACACTCCATTCCCCAAACACGTCACATGAAGTTGTACTATAATAATAGTCCATATTTATGAGCAGGATCACAGTACTAGCAGCAAGAGTACCAGATGTGGGGCAAGAAGACCTGAATTCAAATCCTCACCTTGCCACTCACTGCCTTTAAGCATGTCTTTCTATGCTTCAGTTTTCTTATATATAAAATGAGGGGGTTAGATCTGACAGCCTTTAAGATGTCTTCCCACTCGAAACCCAGGATCCTATAGACCAACTTAAAGTTTACTAACTGCTTCCCTCACAATGACATGGAGAAGGCAGTAATATTATTATCCCCATTGACCAGGTCTTGAAACTTCTCTCTTCATAGCCATTTGACGTGATGATTAAGTAATTTTAACCTGGTCTTTCACTCCAAAACCCTTGACCTAGTTTCTTTCTTTCCTGGTTGAATTGCTTTGGTCAGCTCCAGTTTCTTGTGTTATAATAATCGCTCTATGAAAGTAGATTCTATTTATTGTGCACTTGTAGTCTAGTTCCTACAAATCAATCACCCAGTCAATCAGAAAGGATTTATTACAGGCCTGGTGTGTGACAGACCCTGTGCTAAGTACTTGGGGGATACAAAGGGAAAAAAATGGTTCCTGCCCTGGAGGAGCTTACATTCTAAAACAGTTTTCCTTTTATTCTTCGCATCTCTAGTGTTTTCCGTCTAAGGCTTCATCTCTCTCCCAGGTCCTTCATACCTTTACATGAATCCCCTCTTGTATTTAAGCCTTTCAGAATCCCACCTTGGCTTGCTGCACTCATCCTGTGATGTCTATTATAGCAGGTACCCCTTCTCCCATGCCTTTTCTGAACAACCATTAGAATATGAGAGTTGGTGTGGAGGAGAATGGAGTAGATTCAGGAGTGGAGAAGAGAGGAAGTGAGAGAGAAATGACAAAAGACAGGTAACATCTTTTCTCTTTTCCACACTCTTGGTACCAAACATCTCATTACCCCTAAATAGTACGATATTTTCCCAAAGTTGCCAAGCAATTCAAATTAATTCAACAAACACTTAGTAAGTGCCTACTATATGCAGGCTTCTATGCTGAGAACTATCTTCTCCTAACACACTGGGAGTGGCTTAGTGGATAGGGGACTGGACCAAGAGTCACCTCAAACACTTCCTATGACCCTAGACAACAGAAGGGAAGAGAAGAGAAAGAGGCTAAGGAAAGTAATAAGCATTTACACAGCACCTACTATGTGTTATGCAAGTCACTTAAATACTCTGTGCCTAAGTTTTCCCATCTACAAAAGGAGGAGGTTGAACTCAATGGCCTCCATGGTCCCTTCTACTTCTAAATCTACCCTATGAATACAAGCCTTGTCTGCATATAGACAGAAAAAGAAAGGAACAGAAGCAAATACATATACTATGCCTCATTACTCAATGGGAGCAGTTATTTGTTTTGTAAAGAGACTTTGAAGAAAATGTGACCTTAAAGACCTTCCCATAAGTGAAAGAGGCTCATGTCTTGCATTTATGCCTGTGATATACAAAAATGTGTGACCTTCAAAAGCAATGATATAAATCTATATAGTCACTCTATACTATATACACTTTGAATACCTTGGTGAATACAAAAATAAAATGCACATAATATTTTATATTCTAAGAATCTACATTTTGGTTATTTAATAACTTGAGGTCATATTAACTGAGAGGAAGAAACAGCTGGTATTTTATAGTGACTTTATTTTGAAGTTCTTCAGCTCTTTGGAAAACTGATTATTTGTAAGTCTGTTTGGACATCTGGATTGTTTCTGGCTTCTGACACTATCTCCTTTCCTGTTTTAGAAATTGCCGTATCCTGGGAGCAAGAAAATCCAACACAGCCCCATTGGTGCAATTCAGAGGAGATGTTGTACCTGTCGATGGATCTGATGATTTTCTTGTAGAAGAAAAGGGAAGAGGGAGAGGAAGACTTGCCATGTAAACCATACTTCCCAGACGTCGAGATACCTTTAGAGATAGAAATTATTATAGTAAATTCTCTAAATAGTCTCAACAACATTAAGAATTTTCAAGTTAATTTTCCCTAGTAAACAAGAGATATGAGAGTTGGTGTAGAGGAGAATGGAGTAGATTCAGGAGTGGAGAAGAATGGAAAAGAGAGACAAATGACAAAAGACAGGTAATATCTTTTCTCTTTTCCATACTCTTGGTACCAAACATCTCATTATCCGTAAATAATACAATATTTTCTCAAAGTTTCCATGAGTTGGAAGTCTGGGACCAATTTGCTATGGGACTTTTGAATCCACAGTTACAGGGACCATGCCTTAGATTTCATTTGCTCTTTCCTCTCATTGAGAGTCACTGTAGGTCAATGAAAGAGCTCAGGCTTAAAGGCTAGAGGGACCAAGGTTCACATCCCTTCTGAGATACTTACAGTGTGACCCTGGACCAGTCATTTAACCTCTTAAGGTCTGTTTTCTAATCTGTAAAATGAGATAATAATACTTCCAATACCTATCTCACAAGAGTGGTGAGGGAAAGGGTTTTGAAGACCTTAAAGTGATATAAAAATGTGTTGTCTTAATTTATTTCACTGCTCATATTTTCAATATCTGAGACTATTAAGACTGGGTGGTAGAAATTCATAATTATTCTTTCCTCCAAAGTGCCAATTATCAGAGGCACAGCCTAGGGGAGAGATAGGAGACAGAATGTGCCTGGCTATCACTATCACCACCTTGCCTGCCATCTTCCCTCAGATGCTGATGGAGACATCCCAGGACTCTGAAACAAAAAGCCTTGACAATGGCAATGATCTCAGCTTAGTGTCTGCAGCTATCACAGAAAGTGACTCATGTAAAGATATGACTCCCATAAGAATGACTCCCATGGGAGCTATAGCCACATCTTTGGAAGACCCAGAAAAGAAAATTCTTGTCACCTAAGTCCTTGTCATTGTAAAATGGTTCAACAAGAAACTGATATGATTTTATAAGTGGAAATGACATTCAAAAAGAGAAATTATCTGCTTTGCCACTGCACCCTAAGGACCCTGGATCCCTTCTATCTGATTTGCAGCTGAGAGTTTCTATCTATGTTGTCTTCTCCATTAAAATGGGACTTTCTTGAAAGTAAGGATTAATTTACTTTTTTATTTGTATTCCCAGCATTTAGCACAGTGCTTTGCACACCGAAACTGCATAATAAGCGCTTCACTCCTTCATTCATTATCTAACACTCCTTTTCAGTTGTGCTGAGGCTCAACTTTATCTTTCACTATTAGCAACCTAGCACACTGAATTTTGCTTTCAGTATGGAAATAATGCTTCTTTTTTTGGGGTGTTATACTTGGGTGTTGCTTAAAACATACCCGTAAGGTGATAGGGAGGAATCTCAGATCAGTGATATATCTGAAACACAGCCAAAACTCACTCTGAAAGAACCAACTTACCACAGAATCAACCTTTACTCAAACATTGACCCCTTGCCACATACAGACAGTACCAAGTGTTGCCACAAGATGCCAGACACCTGGGGAATGAACATACAGACACACATCCTCTCCCCAAGTTGTTTACCTATCAGTTACTATGTTCTGGTAGAATTGAATTTACTCCTTGGAAAAAAAGTGATTGTTTCTTTTTTTCTTTTTTCACTCTTTATACCCTCAGCTTCTAGCCACAGTGCCTGTGATTAATACCTGCTTTTTGATAGATTGATTGATTAACACACCAAGACAGAGGTAAAAAGACATACCCATACCAGGGAAGATTCTCCTTGGAGAAATTCACATAATGCACAAGTACCATTCCTATGCCCTGTCCTTACCTGGGTCTTACTCTCACTCTGAGGCTAGTCTAAACTACCTAAAGTTTCCAACATTGGCCAGTCTAATTAAATCTACTAGCTTTTGTAACAACTCTTCCTCTTCCTTCAGTATTCCTGTTCACCCTGTTCCCACATCCACTGCAAAGGTGGAACAGTGGCATTTAGCTGCTAGTAAGTAAATCCATTGTTTTAGTAGTAAACCAGGTGGCTGCTCAAGTTCACCAAAGTTGCTGACCCTGGTATCAATAGCGGGAGGCTGAGTCCCTCCCAGTTGATTCTGTGTATGTCCATCACATTTGATGGGTGTACTAAAAATGACCAAATATATAGGGGGAAAAAAACTAGAAATGGAGTGGGGCTGGGATGAAAGAAACAAAAAGCAAATGGAGAAAGAATGAAGAAAGACCCGGGCCAAGACAAGAAATAAATAGGAAGCCAAATTAATAGATTAAATGAAAGCCAAGGAAACCTATACTCATTATGAGGTAAGGGAACCCAATAAAATATTACAACTATGAGGGTTCTATATTTAGTAATATCTCAAGGGAAGTAGCTCATGTTCCATGGTTCATATTAAACACAAATGCTGAAAGCACGACTGGAAGATACGCAGTGAAAAGTAATTTTGATTTGGCTAAAAAGAGGTTGGAGAATCCATTGAGAATTTAAGTTAACTAATAGTTTCTTTTTTTTATGTTCAGAGTGTTATTACAGGGAAAGAAAAAGCAGAATTAAATGAAAAAATCCATCTAGCTATGTTTCTTTCTCACAGATGTGAAATCTTTATTTTCATCCCCAAAGAACAGTTCAAATATTAAGAAGCTTCAAAGCATCAAGGAAATCCAAGTAATATGATTTTTAAAAATAAGAGAATTAATAAGATCAAAAAGATTTTGGGAAAGAGTTTGATTTATAATTGAAACATTTTCCAATAATCCCCTGTAATTCTACAATTTCTTACTTAAGGTAGGGTTATACCTTATAATCATAGATTCCTAGCACTGGAAGGAATCCTAAAAGTCTTTTTGTCTAATCGTTAATCAAAACATGTGTCACCTCTAAGACATTACCAACAAATAGCCATCTAGCTCTTACTCAAAGATTTTCAGTGACTGAGAACCTATTTTGAATTTTTGGACAGCTCTAATTAGAATCATAAATGTCAAAGCTAAAAGGGATCTTGGAGATCAATAAGTCCAACAGTCTTACTTTGCAAATGAAGAAGTTGAGGCTTAGAGATATTTGTGACTTGCCTGAGGGTCACAAGGTAACTATTCTGTCTCCAAATCTAGTGCTCTAACACCTTGTTGGAAAGTTTCTCTTTGTATTGAACTGAAATCTGCCTACCTATAAATTCCAATTTTTGGTCCTTACTCTGTCCTCTGGGACCAAGAAGACCTTCCCTTCTAACATGTGAAGACAGCTTTCATCCCTCTTGGCCTCTTCCCACCACTCTGCCCCAGTTTTCTCTTCAAATTAAGACTCTGATTCTCTCATTAGATTATTGTATAGAATCATAAGATTCAGAGCTAGACAAGGATCAGTTTTTACAAGGGATTAGTAATTTTACAAGGGAGGAAACTGTGGCCCAGAGAAGTTAAGAGACTTGTCCAAAGTCACATAGAAATTAGAAATAGAGAAGAAATTTGGAGCTATGCCTTTTAATACCACATTCAGGGCTCTTTCCATTGTATTATTCCATGTTTTCAAATTCCCTCACCCTTTTGTTTACTCTGTCTTGGAATACTCCAGTCGTTTAATGCCTTTTTTTTTGAAACACACATCCAGAACTGAACACAATACTACAAGGGTAATCATACTGCTACTATACGTAATGAGAAGTGTTGAAGAGTGGATAGAAACTTGGGTTGAGTCCCATTTTTAACATCCTTCATAAGTGACTCTGGGCAAATTATTTAACCCCTCAGTGCCCCACACAACTCTCTAAAACAATAAAAAGTTGCAGAACAGTAGCTGATCTCCATTGGTAGAAAGTGTTTCTACTACCATAGCTGCCTAATTTGTCTCTTTGCCTCAAGACTTCTCAGTCTAATCCATTCTCTGCTCAACTACCAAAGTGGTCTGATGGTGTCCAGCCCCGCTCCTCCTACTTAACAAACTCTAGAGACTTCGGGTGGCTTCCAGGTGCAAATTCAAGTCCTATGTTTAATCATGATTTTCAGGGAGTCAACGATTCTGAAATTCTCTCTTCTCAATCTGTTTTCCATGTTAGTTGTTCTTGATAGTAAGATATTTTACATTTTCTTTTTTTTTTCAATCTCTTGACTATGTTCTATGATTCTTGCTTCATTCTATTTTTTAGGAGGTCTACTACTTGAAAGAGGTTTTCCTCCTTCTATTCTAAGCTGTTTATTCTCTCTTTATTTTTTCTTCCCAGATTCTCATTTCATTTTTTAATTTAATTTTTATCTCTTTATTTCTTCCAGGCACTCATTTAACTAAGTCTTTTTTTTTTTTGGAGATTCTGTTTGTAGCTATTATGGTGATATTCTCTTTTTGAGTCATAATATTCATCTTAAACCATAGTATTGGTTCATTGTGTTTAGTGTTTTCTTCTGTTTGTTCATAATTTCAGCCTCAGTTCTTGGTTCATCATTTTTTGCTCAAGCCAGTCCCTTCTTACCCTCTTGAATGGGTTGAGTAGACTTTGCTTGATCTTATCCCCTCTCCTAATTCGGATGTTGACACTTCTGTTGATCTGGATTGGGTGGTTAGTATTAGCTTTCCCCCCACCCCCTTGCCTCAATCCCTGACTTCTGTCTCAGTCTCTGGGTGGTCCTCTGTGGGTTCTGGCCTCAGCTAGATGCAGTCTTCTTGTACTCTTTCTAATCCAGAGTTGGTTTTGTCTCCCTGCTCAGATCTTCACAGGTTTCCAGGAAGAGTTCTACTTATCATGATAGTCTCAGACCTCCTGCATAGCCTCCCTGGAACTGGCTGGTATCCAGGTGCCGAGCTGGATCTCCTTCTATGATTTCCTGTGCCTGGTTAAGCATTGCCTCCCTGTGCAATGATCTATGAGATCTGGTTCTGCCCCTCCTTCTGTTCTGGGAGGTTAAGATCAGTATCTGGCTTCAGATCCTCAATTACTCGAACTCATGATTAATTTTGATCTCTTTGCTCAGAACACTGGCTGCTGGCTTCATGTTGTCCATCTT